TTTTGCGATAATTAAGATGAACTCATCCATCCTTCATATATAGAAGCTTCGAACTCAAAACTTCTTCGCTCTTAGTCAAAATTCCAAGCAACAGATCAAGATGAGCTGAATCTAAGAGCATACTTCAAGTCAGCTCAATCCCATATAGTACTATTTATTGTATACATCAAGTTTAAATCTCATGAAACCAATTTTCTTCTAAAAATGATGACATCAAAAGTAAAGTTGTCTGTAGAATTGCTTCTAACCATAAAAAGAGCTTTTTAGATGAGAAGTTTATGTGGTTTCCTTCCAAAGACATCTTGGTTATTGCATATAAATTCTCTCTTTCAAATTAGCATGCATGAATGTTATCCTTCTATTTATTCAATCAAGTTTGAGTTCAAATATGATCATTATAGATAATATCACACACATATATATTTTCTTAACAACAATGAGAACAATTTGTTGAAATCCAATTCTTCTTTTTATGTAAAGCCATCGGCAACCAACCTTTTTTTTAACATTTAGGCTTTCTTAGTCTTTGTGCTCTCCAATCACTATAGGAAAATATCCTATTACCGATGAATTTTTAGGCCGAAATTAGGTAATTTTCCGACTGATTTGGATGTTTATGGCGGAATTTTTTTATGGTAAAATCCGCGCAGGAAAGATTTTCCTTAAAAAAAATTGTCAAAAAATTTTCCGCGGTTGTCCAGTGAAAAAAAGCCGCCGGAATAATTTTTAAAAAAATTCACCACCTCCTCCCGCCCTGCCCGCGACCGCTGACTGTCCCCCTGCCAGCCCATGAAGGTTATAATAAATTACTAATTAATTAAAATAAACCACAAAAAAATTTAATTAATCAAAATAAAATATTATGATTAATAATTAATTTAAATAAGGAACTAAATTAACAATTAATTAAAAGAGTTACTAAATTAATAATTAATTAAAATAAAATATTAAAGTAAACCATAAAAATTTAAATTAATTAAAATAAAAAATTAAAATATGCCAGAAATCCGTCAGAAAATTCACCGGAAATAAATCTGTCGGAAAATCCGCCGGAAAAAATCGACGAAAAATCTGTCGGTTATATTTCATCGGAATCCGTCGGAAATTAACCAGAAATTCTCTCGGTAATATATCAAATATACCGACATTTGATAGCAGCAGTTTTAGTTTTAAATCCAAATATATTTTTTTTTTGTTTTAAATCCAAATATCAAATATAAATTTACAAACACTATTTTGTACCATTTGATAGCAGCGGTTTTAAAACTAATGCCATAGATTACTTTTCCTAGTAGTTTTAACCACCGCTAATAGCCACGATTCAAGCTGTTACTATAGAAGTCACAAAACACACTTTATAGAGCCATAATCTCTTATTCCTTGTGCGAGCCTCTCCAACATGTTCCTCTTTTATATTTCGATCGATCCATCGATAAAATGTGTGATGGGGGATGTGAAAGTAAACCACACAACCAACAAAAAACAAGAAATAAAAAACAATCGAAATAAGAGGGCACCATGATTTATCATGGAAAAAATTGAAATCGGGAAAAAGCTACAGATTCACACCACACCAAGAAATCTACTATGAAAATTGGGAGAAATTAATACAGATCTCTCTTCTCTCTTGCTCTCTCCTTACACCACATCACTATAGGAAAACGCTCGATTACCGTCGAAGCTTCTGGCGGATATATATCCGCCGGAAATTAAGGGGTTTTTATCGGCATTCTATGCGACGATACTATTACGGCGGAATTATCGGTGGAAACGAAGCCGGTAATGTTCCGACGCCGAGTCCGCCAGCATATACATCGTAATCTGAAAGAAAACTATATAATGTGGCACATCTTACGCCGGAAATTCTCGACGTATTTACCAACGGATAGAACGCCGGTAATTTTAAATACAATGATATATTACCGTCGTAATAACTGACAAAAATGCATCCAGCGGATTAGACGTCGGAAAAATCCGTCGGTGGAAGCCCTATTTCTCTCCTGAGCCCGTTTGGCTTATTATTTCATTCCATCGTTTCATTTAGGTCTCCACTCGCCTCTGTCACCCCAGCGTCACCCCATCTAGCCTCGCCACTACCGAGACCTTCTGGACTTCCATGGACGGTGCCGATGCTCACCGCCTCTGTCACCGGTGCAACGTCGGAGTTTTGAGGAAATTCCACCATAAGTTTTTTATTTTTTGGTTGATTTTCTTAGTAGAAATTTGCTTAGAATGGTAAGGAGATTGTGTCTTAGTGTATTCTTCTTAGTAGAAATGACGATATAATGAATTACGTATTGATTTTCGACGTCTTTTTTACGCCAGTATTTTTGATAGATACTGCACCGGTTATCTCCGCCCTTTGATTTTCGGCATATGTAGCAATGTTTGTTCCGCCTGAATTACCGGTAGATTTTTACGCCGATAATTCCGGCGTATTTAACGCCGGAATAAGCAAATATAAAACGACGTAAATGGCACCCACTTTTTAGCCGGTCATGGGCCAGAAAAGTTTCCGGCATATTATTTAAGTCGAAAAATTTTTTTCGACGCGTGAATTACCATCGTATGAACATCCGCCGGAAATTCGACGAAAATGTGCTCTTTCCATCAAAATTTTCATGTTACCGGCGTATTCTGTTCGTCGGTAATGATGGATTTTCCTGTAGTGCATCAAGAAATCCACAATGAAAATTAAGAGAAATTACTACATATGTCTCTTCTCTCTTGTTCTCTCATTGTTCCTCTTCACTCGTAGGATTGTTCTCACACACAAAATAAATGAGAAAGATAAGTAAATAACACCAAGGGATGCCACCTTTAAGGAAAGTAAGAAAGTAAATTATTTAGTCTGCCTCGAAGCGCTGTGATGCGCAAACCTTTGTAATTGGTTCATCTGATAGTGCCATAGTGCCGAATTTAAAGCGTTGTGATGCTAAGCCCTTTGTCATTTCTCCCAGAAAAATTTAGAGCACCGGGGTTCTTGGGAACACAACGCTAGGAAACTATGGCATGCAATTCCATGGGGGAGAGACCCCCGCCCCCCTCCCCCACCCCTCCAAACGAGCATGACAAATTGAACGGAGATCCGAGGTAACAACACAATCCGATTGATCGACACAATTAGATTCCACATAAGCTAACAATGCACATTCTGATTAAATTTGAACATGAATGTCATCTAACATATAGCTCCATAAGATCAAAGGTTCCTTTGAGAAATAAAACATCACTCTCGTCCTATGAGTCTCACTAATAAGAACGCCATATTTGTGATATCGGATAAAAATAATGCCTAATAGCTTAGGGAACTACTTATCTTAATTAAAATTTTAAATTATTTTTAAGTAATTTTGGTTCAAACAAATAATTGATAGCGGTGAAAAAAATAATTAATATTGGTGAAAAAACTACATTGACATCATACTGAACTATATATATTGTACGCTCAAAATTGTACTGTGCAATCTATTTATCCATAAATTAATTAAATAAAATTGAGTTATAACTAATCATATTTTATGATCTCTAATCATACAGGATGATAATCTATTTTGATATATCCCACTATCGAATTTATGTTATCAAAATTACACAAAATTAAACTTATTATACTCTGACAATTATTAATGAATGTTGCCTAATTTTATCCCATTGATTAAGGAATCAAATCAAGATTAAATTCAGATTAATCATCATACTGTACTATATATATTGTATAGTTCAATTAAATAGATAATTTGATGGCCGAACCTTGGTTCACCTTGGATGGTACCTAATTCAATATAATTAATCTTATTCTATGACTGTATATTGTACATGACGATATGTGATGAGAATTAAACTAATCAGATAGTTCGATCCTAATTTTTTACTGTACGACCATAAACTTTAAATTGAAATTTAGGGCTTTATTTAAATAACCCACTTTATTTATTTCAAATAAGGCTTTAGGATTTATGTTGACTAGTTAGAGACATTTTTTTAGGGAGAGATAGCTTTAGAGAGGAAGAGGTGTCTCCTTATAAGATAGTGTCCAAATCACTTGGGGAGAGAGAATGTGAGGTTGAGCGAGAGAGAGAGAGAGAGAGAGAGAGTTTATTTATTTATTTATTTATTTTTTTAATGGAGTCAAGGGGTGTCAGAGAGACATGATCATTCTTGTTAGCATGCAGCTTAGGTCTTCCATATTGTGATTTTGGAGCACTTGGAGGAGAACTCTAGGAAAATGTTTTTGGGCAAAAAATATTTCATGCTAAGGAGGCTAGCGGTGGAATTTCTAGCATGCATGAGAAGAAGGAAGGAGTGGCATCTCTGCTATACTAGGACTAGGAGGGATTGGCATTTTTGTTATGGGAGGAGCACAAGAAGGGACCAACATCTCGACTGTGCCAGGAAAAGAGAGAGACTTTTTTGGGATAAAAGAGTTTGTAAAAATTACTCTCCACCTAAAAAGGGAGAATGTCTTCTCCACTTGAGTTCTAAAGGAACGTTGTGTGCTGCAATACCCAAAGAGGAAGATCTTTGGACAGTGGAGGTCGGTCGATTTTGATCGAACTATTATAATAATCTAATCTTTGTTTTTTTTTTCTTACATTTATTTTCTTGTGTTTTGGTTTACAATGTATGTTTTTGTAATTTTGTGGTTATTGAATCTTTAGTTAAATTCTTGCATAAAGCAAAATAAAATAAAATTATATATATATATATACCCACACTCTACAAAGCATGGTTAATACATAAATACTAATATAATATAATCTTAGTTATAATTTTGAAAAAGAAATGAAACAAAATTTTGAGTGTTAAGAAATAATTACCTCGAAAGAGAAACATTTTTCCTCTCTAACAGTACCATGCCTGCTTCTTTTTCACCATTAGTAGACAGTTTTTTGTATTGA